TGTATTGTGATTCCAGATTCCATTAAGTTGTACTTGGCAAACTTTGCGGGACAAATTCCGTGACGTTGGAGAAGTAAAATTCGCTGAGATTCGAGGCAATGATTTAGGAGTGGTACGATTCTTTAAAGAACGAGACGCCGAGTTGGCTATTGGTAAAAAAGAGAAATAATAATGTGAAATTTATCCAGAGCGTTAAACTATCGTATTCCTTCTTTTACATTTTAGCATTAATGGACGGTTCCCGAATGGATGGTAGGACGATTAAAGTTACATATTTCTAAACAAACTACATTCACTAGCCCGTGGACGTCATTACTATAAAATAAATATTTTTCAATATCCCTGCACTTTCAGTTTTAAGAATTTTACATCCATATATGTATTAGATGTTTTAATTACATATTTTTTTTTTTTTTTTTTTTTATAAATAAGCGAACCTTTCACATCATTGACAATTTAATAAATTATCTGCAATTTATGCAAACAGCATACATATTAATGTAATCGTGAATGATTAAGTCAAGTAATATCCATTTTCGTTTTAACTGAAAAAATTTTGAGAATTGTAAGCTTTACGACTATGAATAAAATTTAATAAATACAATTAATATTTTATTGTCAGCATATCTTCAACCCTGTCATATTTCGATAACTTAAAAAGCATTGGAACAACTAGTTGTAGCTCTCGTCTCTACGTAAATACGTTCCAAATTGAATATGAAAACGAACCCTTTCCACTTTAGCAGTAATATATATTTGGGTAGTTGTACGATTGCCACATTAAGGCTAACATTTTCCAAACGTTTCGGCTGCAGAACAGTAAACAAATAAATTTTTCTTATTGAACTCTTTATTGTACGGATAATAAGAAACATCTTCCTAAAATGGTAATTTTCTATTCAAACAAAATTTGCAGATTCACTCGTAGAGTGTTTATGCTTAAAATTGTTGAATGTTATTAAATGTTATGGATACAAATTTAACTATGTAGCATATCCTTGCGGGTTACGGCGTAGAACTAGATGTAATGTACGTTAGTACTTTGTAGGTGATGATACAAATTGTTATCTGGATGGCGATTTCTAATTACCAGCAACTGAAGTTGGAGGAGCTGATGGCGTGACCACTGGTGTTGGTTCTATACTCGGCTCGTTATCCTCAGCATTTCCGGTCGATGTCGTGGCGACTTTTTGTTTATCAGTTGTGGACAATGTTTGAGTATTTTTGAAGCGTTCTAAACGTGCTCGTGCCTTTTCAGCCCATATGTCATCTGATTTTGTGGAGGTGATAGCACCACCGCTTGATGTGTTTGTGCCCCCCGCTCCGAAACGTTCCTTTCGCTTCTGTAATTTCTCCGCTGCATCAATTTTGGCCATTTTTGAAGAAACAACACAACCAAAGCGTTCTGCTCGTTTTTTCAGCATTTCCATTTGTTTGATATCATTGACGGCGGGCTCCGTGGTAACACTACTTATCTTTGTATTGCTAACCGGTTTGGGTGAGACTGACGCAGCGGTCGAGTTTGAGCCTAGTCCAAATTTCTTGGCACGAAGTTCCAATCGTTCCATTTGGCTTAATTGTACCACTTTCGAGCCGCCGGTATTCGTACCATTATTAATTTTAGAGTTCGTCGGCTCTTTGGAATTGAGATCACTCACACTAATCGGATTGCGTTCGCTCATTTTTAAAACCTTTTCCTTTGGTGGCTCGGTATTCTCTTTTGCTGTTGTTGATGTTGCGTCTTCCGTGGCCGATGAAACTTTATCCCCGTCATTTGTTAAAGAAACTTTGCGCTTCAAAATAATTTTTTTTTGATTAGTTGCAGTGTTTGTGCCATCCGTACTTGGCTTGTTCTCGTTTAACGGAGAAGGCAATTCAGAAGCAGTAGGAGTACTGGTCGGACTTTTAAGTAACTCGTTTTCATCTGCAGCAATCGGCGATTCCTCTTCATCGGTTAATACAGCATCTTCATCAAGCAAAGCATCCTCATTCGTAATAGCTGAATCTTCCAAAGAAATATCACCCTCAAGTAGTGCTGTTTGTAGGCGGTCTTGAAGTTCTGTCTTATTACCCGTGGTAGCAAGGCCACGCAGCTTTAGCTCGCGCTTCAAATCAGCTACCTACAAATAATGTTATATGCATTAGATCATCAATCACTGATATAGAATATTACACAATTTACCTTCATTTTTGTTACATCCGATTCCGGCATAGTTTTGGTGTATTTTTCTTAATTTTTTGCAAAATTAATTTCTTTACTGTAGCCTTCTTATTGTTTTTCGCTCAATCACACAAACACACCGGGCATTGACGAATTGACGTTATTCTTTGGGATATGTTCAGTACATGCACGTCAAGCGAATTTATCGAAATATGACAACATACGCATTTCTTACCCTAAGTACATACTGTTTATCCTAAAAACTTTAAAACCGACTTCTTTTTAAAATTATATATATTTAACTTTCCGTGTGCCGTAAACCGTTGGGAAAATCTGTTTTGAAATGGTTGCTGGCTTCTTAAACATCTGCTTTTACATACGTTTATAAATATCGGAAACAGGTAAGCTTCAAACAAAGACGAGGTGATTAATAAATTTTACCTGATATTTTTAGGAAAGTATTAAGCGTATAATATTTATGGTATTCATAAAAAATTATATCTACCTGAATCATTCGTCGAACAAGTTCTGAACAATATTCTAAGTTCTGAGAACCCCAATCATATGTAAGGAAAAACCCTTTGTTATGTAATTCTGCCCTGACAGGGTTTTGTAAACAGATTGTGTTCTATACAATATATTTTTTTCCAAACAATTAATGTTGATTCTTTCTTTATCAAACATTAATATAAGTATCCCGAAATTTTTTTTTTAATAATAGCTGACCCTGATTTGTAGTTGTACAATTGAATTTGAATAAATATAATTCAAAGTATAACATACATATAAAACACTAAAAGTAAGGGATTAACGTTTAAGAAACAACACTGCATTCTCTAAGCCAAGTTTTCTGTAGCCACAAAATGCTTTAAGGCCAATTATGAAAACTGCCGAGCGCAGTCGCAACCAACCAACGAGTGTTAGTGTATCTTTATAAACGGCAAGCACAATATTAACGATCAAACATAATTCATATTATACAAAAGTATATATATGTATTATAAATACGTATGTATGTATTCTTGTAGCATCCAGAGAAAAAATCCAAACTTGGAAATATGTAGTGAAGTGATAGTGTATACGTTGGACCAAACTTTCACTGTGCAGAATTTTTCGGTAAAAATCTTAAATTAAATATATATAATAAACAAAGTGCATAGAAAAAAGGCCAAAGAAGCCACTCGTAAATGAGAACGCTTCACAATTCATTTCCCGACATGGTGTAACTGAAACAACAACAACAAAAGGAATGTTAACATCAACGTAAAGGAGGTTAACATATCAAGGAGSAAACGGCATAGATTTTTTACCAAATTAACTTCGAGAAGAAGTAAAACAAACTCGTTGCTTTTATCTTGTTGGATATATGATATATGTACATATATATAGACAAATTTATATGTAGTTAGCTAAAAATTACAATAAAAGTAAAAACTTAAAGGTCTAAACTGTTAATGAGAAAATAACATTACAGTCTACATTTGCGAATTAAAGATTATATAGAGTTTTCATTGACGAAGCTGTTTGCCATTTCGGAAGCACAATTAGCTGTTTTCAATTTACCTATACACATCTACATACATACATATATCTATATAATAACACAAGTTTAAATCAACCATTCTCCAGCAACTTCTTTAAAAGTAAGAAATGTTTTTTTTTACTTATTGTATGTATTAAGAAAGCCAATCGTAATCAAGAGCAATCAAATATTGCAACCTCAGCCGTTCAAAATCTGCAATCCACCGTTTTCTAGGAAATAAAAAAATAAAAACTATTATCACGCCTTATAGATCATACCATACCAACGCAGCTTCATAAAGGAACGTTTAAGAACAGGTGCTTGCTGATTTAAAAGCCGCTATAGCAAGATTTACGAATATGTACATATGTATGTATGCATGCGCTTGCCGGTGGGCTTTGGTTGTATTGTGTGGGCATTAGTGATTGTTCGACGCATGCGCTAGGAATTTGTACCAGCCATTAAGGCAGCTTTTTAGATATTACTTGATGTACATACATATGTACGTATGGGTTAAAAAAATAAGCGTTAAGCGTTAGTGGAAACTTTTCGTTTAATCAAAAGATTCTCGTTCCATTTCCTAAAGTGTGGTAAATATTAAATACCTTCAATTGCAGTAAAAATTGATCGGTATTAAAATTAAAACAATCAATACAATTTTGTTATGTTTCGATCGTCTAGATTTAGGGCCGTTTTCTCAATGTCTGGTTGGCAGCTATCTGTCAGTTAAGTTCTGGTTTAAAAAAATGTTTTTTAGGAGTTTTGGTTAAGTAACTGACAAAAAGCTGCTAACCAATACTTTTCAGCTCATGTAGTATACCGAAAACCAATAAGTACTTAAGACCACTATGGAAGATAAAAATAAAACCAGGAAAACATATGTATGTACTTCCATAGTTAGAAAGTTATTCTATTCACTTTGTGGCCTTTCGCATCGAAATAYAAATATTTATGCTTAAAAACTTACCTATACTTGGAGTTACAGCTTAAGTTAACGGTCTTATATCCAGTGAAGTTCTGAATGCTAGAAACAGGCCAATCTGCTTTGCGTCTTTTCTTTCTTACTAGTTTGTGTCGACCTTAATTAGTAGCCCAACATCATTGGCGAGTGGAGAATAGGCCACTAAAACCAACTAAGAGTGACACTAACAACAACAATAACATAAACCACAATAAAATGTTGCCAACATAATCATATATACCTATAGAAATATATTATAATCATATATATAGAAATATATTATTAATAAGAGTCACTGTCACCATGAAATAACAGTGGCAAGAACAATATTAATACAACAACAATAAAGGTGAGGATCAACAAGTGTAAACCACCACTAAACCATTAAAGATAGAGAAGTGACCAAATGCATACATACAGATATCACTACACAGAAAAAGAGTAAAAATAATGGAATAGCTGAACTTGTAAAAGAAGTGGGAAGCAAAGAACATCTCTGAAAACAGCCAAGAGATATAAAAATAGAAATTGGAAGCTATGTGAGCGCACAAGTCGAGAGTTAGCTAGTTCGTTGAATAAATACAACAATAGTAAAAACATAGGCCTAAGCCACGCTTTGAAACTAGCCACTGAACTGAAGGCAATGAAACCTGCTACAAGTATTATATGCATGTTTGTATGAGTGTATACATTATCGGCCACAAAAAAAATAATACTTGAACTTGGATTTATTATGAAATGCGTACATATTGTATGTATGTAATTACAATTGAATTAGGGTGTTTGCCGATTTACTTCTTCGAACGCCTGGACAAAAATCATCACTCATCATTCTCATATATTTGCCACTAGACCTTCCTTTCAATGATAACGAGAAATTTTCTGTTTAAAAACGACGTCGATAAGGCCAGTGAGAATCCCTTCAATTCAAWTGAAATCTTTTGCTGTGAATATTGGTACTGTACCTTTTACTTACAGACGTCCATTTGACAGCCATCTTAACCGACTTATTGGGTGCATTCTTTGGGAAGAGTCACATTTTCTTTACAATGAAACTTACATACTATGTATGTACATATATATAGGAACAACTGTCTATGAGAACTCGTCACTGGTTAGCGAATTCCCAAGACACAGTTTTCGTGTGTTTTAATTAATCGTGTAACATCTTAATTAATGATCCCACGTGAGCTTTTATATCCAACACATTGGATGCACACCGTTGGGCGAGTGTATCGCTCGGAAATGTACATGCATACATGTGATAGATGTGCTTACTTAAAGTCGTAAGAAGAGTCACGGTTTGAAAATATTCTAAAATAATTCTATTTTTTCCAAAGCCTTCACGAATTAGTCATAAAGCTCCTACGGTTAATTTAAACCGTAAACTACTATAAATTGTAACAAATTAGTGTATCGTTACGGTATTTTCATATAGTTGACTAGTGATATGGATAAAATTGGAGTCAATCCACTGCTTTTCAAACTGGATGGGGCAGCAGTTGGCAACCTAATTCTAGCAATATGGCCACGGCGACGGTGAAAAAGCACTGTTTGCTGCATTTAATAATAAAAGTAGCCCTTGTAGGCAGGTGCGTGGGAGAGGCTTCAAAAACCGACGTATGATTACATTGAAATTTGCTGAACCAATTTTGGAGGATTATTATCGAAAGTGACATATTGTGACTCTCCATTCAAAAGCCCCGGTCGAGTTACCGACCAATATTGTTTTTTTTTTTCATGTTTCCAAAATATGAGGATACGTCTGCTTCCACACGCAGTTAAAACAAAATCGCCTCAAATTTCTACTGCGATGGAGGCGCCATCGGGTGGTGAAGCTCAATATTTATCGGACCGCCCTCCTATGTATGTGCGTACATATATATGAATGCGRCAATGCACAGCAGGGAAATTTTGAATTGCCAACCGGTTGCACGAGCAAAGCTACAAATTGTTTTCGTAAATCCATTGCTCAATTCACTAAATATCTAAGATGGTCAATGCGCTGGCGATGGTGGATATTGAATGTTCGGGGTTGTGATTATGAACGGAGTGTAAAGTTAGCGTAGCCGCTGATGATTAATAACTATAATGGCATCTGGTATTTACCGTTAGTTTATTGGCTGTGTTTTTGCGTGCATGTGTATGTGTATATATTTATTAATTTCAKGCTTGCTCCTTTAGTGTTGATGCTKKTTGAAGTTGAAAGTGCAGAGAAAACATGTAATAGAAAGTGAAAGAAAGAAAATCTTTGAACCATAGGTCAATAGCTGAAATTGAAGTTAACCAAAAGTCCCGTGCAATAAATTATTACTAACAGTTTTATCACACAGAATTACACACCATACAACAGGAAACCGAAATTGTATGAATATTCGTTAGTGATTATTAATAATCTGTGTTATATTTCACAGGTTGACTAACGCTGCAGAACAATTACAACGAGCGCTAATAAAATAACAGCTTAAAATCGCTCGCTATAACCGTGCATCGTTATAACTCGACTGATAACCGTTACCTATTGTTGGTAATTACAAAAGGCAAACTCTTCCGTTCACTCGTAAATTTAATTACTTATTCGCAACACAACGTACGTTGGGTAACAACACCAAAGACAACTCTAGTCTTTTCCTTTGTTGAAGCGCAAAGCTTGCAAGTCATACGTAACCAACTGTACTTACCGACACGGATACATATATTCAACACCACTGGCATTAAAAAAAACTCCAACAACGGCTCCCTCTAACACATATGACATAATGCGCGAGGACGACATCGAAATCGCCATTAAGGTGGTGATTGTGGGTAACGGCGGTGTTGGGAAATCATCCATGATACAACGCTATTGTAAGGGTATTTTCACCAAGGACTATAAGAAAACGATTGGTGTGGATTTTCTGGAACGACAAATCGAAATTGACGGTGAGGATGTGCGCATAATGTTATGGGATACTGCGGGACAAGAGGAGTTCGACGCCATAACCAAAGCTTACTATCGTGGTGCGCAGGCGTGTGTGCTCACTTTCAGCACGACCGATCGCGCCTCATTCGAAGCCATCAGAGATTGGAAGCGTAAAGTGGAAAATGAATGCAATGAGATACCAACCGTAATTGTACAGAATAAAATTGACCTCATCGAACAGTCAGTTGTAACTGCAGACGAAGTAGAAACTCTGGCGCGCAATTTGAATTGCCGCCTCATACGAACTTCCGTTAARGAGGATGTGAATGTGGCATCCGTTTTCCGATATTTGGCTACTAAATGTCACCAGCTGATGCTGGGCGAAAACACCGAACAGTCATACACACCTAATGGTGGTGGTAGTGGTAGCACCGGCGTAAATGGTACTTCGAATGGTCATCAGCCCACAATTAGTGCCTTCAGTCCAACATTCACAAAGTCCAATAGTGGCACGATCGTGTTGCGAGCAGCCAAAAAGAGTTCAWCAGCGCGGAAACGTAAAATTGTGCTAAAGAAATGCGGCATTTTGTGATTTGCGTGACAACAGCTGGTASGTAGTGAGCAATTGGATGAGTAGAGGATTACATGTGGACAAGATGTGTGCAAGAAAACGGGCACGAACACGTTGAGTATTGGAATATTTGATGATAGAGGGAAGATCGTGCAGCTGCTTGAACGGAATGAAGGTAAGCTGGCGGCGGAGCAAACTATGTGCTGTGCATGCGCTTTTGAATATATACAAACTTACGTACAAACATATATGCTTACTTATATGTAAGTGCATAATTTTTATTATAGATTCGTAAATAATGGTGAAAGAAGTAAGYATACAATTGCGTTGCGGTGGAGCACACTTATGCTTTTCTTTCATTTTTTATTTCAAATAATATATGCATTAAGTAATTGGAGCGTACTTAACTGTAAAACATTTTAGACTAATTAAAGATGAATACCAAATGAGGTTCAGAGTAGGCACCAGCAAGTGAATAGCGAACTTTGATGCAATGAAATCAGAAAACAAATACAAAACTCTAATGTGTAACTTGGTCTGGCCACTCGTAGAGATGGTGTGGTAAGAAAATACTAGAAAAATAATCAAATTAAAAATATGATGGTCGGATAGTGTAGCTCATTTTATTATTGACACGAACAAATTGAATACACTTTTTGGCAGCAAGCAGACCTGCTGGTTTCGTCTGCAATACTTTTAATATGGAAAATGAAGTCAGGGAAATTAATGAGAGCTTCTCGTYGTTCGTAATGTTAGTGATTTTATTTGCGTGTGGTAGGCAAATAAGCTCGAATGTAATTTTTTCATAACGAATCTGCAATAGTATATGTATATAAGATTGTATGTGTGTATATAATTCATATTCATATGAGGTTTTATAATATATATGTATAACACTTAAATGTATGTAAAAATTGTATTTGTGAAAAATTGGCCCCTGCCTCAGCTATTTGTATGCAGTTATTTTAGCTGTTTTTGTTTTTGTTTTCAGATGAAGTCTCCCACGGCTCCTCGGTCATTGAACTCGACTAACTATCATATACTAAACACTTTATGACTGCTAGACTGATACATAAATATATATGCATAACTGGAATATAATAAAAATATTTTAAGTAATATTCGTAAGACAATGTTTGTAATAATCAATAAATATATATGTACATATATGCTTAATATATAATAATCAAAATACTGATTTATAATAATACTGCCTAATTATATTTGTTGTATGTTCATATATCTGTACACTGTTATTTTAACTTAAGATAGATTGATTGTGTTTGCTAACGAGAGCGTGTGTATTTTTTAAATATCGATATTTTATATAAATAGTGGGTTTGTATTATAATTATGTGCAAGGACGTTAAAAACATTACGTTCTTATTAATATTGTAAAATATAATTTAATTTATAATAAACATACTTATGTTGTTTCATCATAAAAATACTGAATAATATTCCTTGAACAGAGTATCTTAAGTTTGCCACGAAGGAAACGTCGGAGACCTTACAAAACATACTATATAAAAATGTGCAGCATGACGAGCTGAGTCGAATTATCCATGACCGCCTATCCTCAGTTCATGATATCCATCTGAAATTTTGCACMCGTCCTTTTCTTCCCAAAAAGCTGCTCATTTGTCGACCACTATAACTAAAAATATAATTGGCATACAATCAGACCGATCTAAATTAAGTTTTGGCATGGCAATTTTTTTTTGACAATATATCTTCACGAAAGTTGACATGGATTAAGGAATGTCTTGTATGGAACTTTTTTACTTGTGAAGGATATTAAAACTTCGGTGTATCCGAAATTTACGTTTTTACTTATTTTTATAACCATTTTAAAARTTACTTGAAGTTGATCGGTTTGTTTAGATCAAGTTGACTGCCAAGTTACGGAAAATATACATTTATTTATTGGGCAATTTCTAGCTATATTTTTAATTATTCTATGTTCAWCGCAATATCCACCAATAGGAATATCCAAAATGGTCGGCGAAACTGGTATGTAAAAAATGTATGTTTTGTTGCTCAAAGAGCAGGGAATGCAATAACCTATGTGGTATTATTAGTGAGAATATTAATCTATGTAAAGTTTGACTTTTAGTTTAATATCGAGAACTCATCAACGGACTCCGAACATCATTCGGTGTGAGCTTCTATGACTTTAACAGGTTTCATATAATGCTGTCGAAATAAGAAAAGTGTTTTTSATTTGTTTCTCGTTTTATTACTTTAAAATACGCATTTTATTATTTAAAACTATTTATTATTTTTTATAATTTTTTTTATCATTTGCTGATAAAAAGCAACATAACACATGTTTGGGGTATTTTTGAGAACAGTTTTCCCCATATAGTAATCAAACCAAKGCTTAATTGTTATTAGGTAATTTTTACTTCAAGCAATTTTACTTATTTTGTTGTTTAATTTTTAGCACAAATATCCTTTTTTTTTTAGAAAGAATATTATAACTATCTTTAAAGTGCAAATTTCAAGCTTTTCTGCAGTAAGTTAAGAAATAAAAAATATATGTACATACAATATGCTTATGTATGCAGTTAAATCTAATTGTGTCACGCTCCTTTTTATCTCGCTGAGAGTAGGTTAGCTTTGTCAATTCGTTCGGGTAGTTCGTGTACCGTATTTTATTATACTCTAACCCGACCAATGAATCATTGGAGTGTTTGTTTTGGGTTATTGAGAGTGGAATTCATGTATAGTTTAATACCATTATAACTAATTCATACGATTTTACAACTATTTTAAATATAAGCTAAAGTGAAATTTATTTATTATTATTATTTTTAATAAGCCCATACTAATTTTTTGTTTGATAGTTTTGTCCTTATTAACCCTTCTCATTTCTCATCTCAATATTACATATATTGCATAACACGAATTTATCTTAATTATTACGGTTAATATATGAAAAGAGACTTCGTTTTGTTTTTGTTGCATTTGTGTATCAAACGTATGATTTACGTTATTATCGGCGTGGAGAATAAGGAATCACTATTCAGAAACAGCAAAGTCCGCATCATCCTTGTGTTCCAATGAGCGATATTCATCYGAATCTTCGCTGCAGGCGGTGGCGAAGGATGCATTCTTTAAATCGGCCGAGCAACCACTAACGTCTGCAGCCTCTATGCAAGGGTCCGTTATTATTGGTATAACATTTTGTTTGCCCGATGGCGTCGGTTGCTCTGTTATCACAGTCTGTAGCATTAATTGTTGAGAAGGCATAGATCTTATAGACGTTGGTGTGCTGGTTAAGGTAGGCAAATTTTCCGTTTCATCTTCTATACTAAAACTAGTGTAGCGACAACGTTCACCCGACGTTGTCGCAACTGGATTATCGCCATCATCAATGTGTCCTGATCGGACCATTKTTTCCGTAGTAGCTTCGATTTTGGTAACAGCTGTGGTGAAATCAACCATATCTTTTGTGGGTGCTGTTGTCGTTGTCGCAGTAATGCCCTCCTCAATGGTACTAATATTGGGCGAAAATTGWGGTTGACGCAGGGTTGGCGAGGCTGGATTACAACCGCTCACCGGTACGAGCGCTTTACAACCACTGGGAAGCAATGCAGTGGTTTCGTTGTCAGTGCTCGTATCACATTGTGAAAATGACGTTGTCGTAGATGCGCAGAAGGATGCTGTAAAAGTATAAATAAATTTTTTTATAATTAAAATTTACAAAAAAAATATGTATATCTTTATTTACATTCGATTTTTTCCCGTCGTCCGGCCAAATGTGGCATGCTCGACARTGGCATGAGTTTTATGCGATAGAACCTTGTGCCTTTAGAAACACGATAACGGTTTTCATCCTGACAGATCATATAAAATAGTAAATTATTCAAATGAGCATATGTGCTGTATTGCGGAATGATGTTTAAATTCAATTCATTGTTTGAAATAGCTTACCTTCTTAGCCTGACAATACTCTCTATCGATGACACGCCCAATTGCATAGTAAGGCACCGGTAAGAGCGTACTTTCCACTATTGCATTTTCACTTGGAGATGGTGTGGCCGGCATGCGCAAATTCATAGCTGACAGACAGTCTCCGTGGACGAAATATAGAATTGGAGAATCCTGGACAACCATATACTGACTGTGACGCATGCTCCACACGACGAAAACCACATCACCTTTATTGCAGGAGTCTAACAGCAAATATTTATGACTAGAACTGCAAAAATAAAACGCCATAATTATTAATAATTACAACACAACACCTAAAAATATTTGATATAAATCAGTATGCGACATTTTTACTTACGCCTTTAGGGCAGCGAAAGAAGTTTCCATTTCCAAGCGCTTTGAGCGCTCCTTCTCAATGGTTAGCTCCTCTTCCAAGCGATTTTTATCTCGATTCAAGTAGTCTATCTTTTCTTTAAGCCAGCTATTGCCCTCCTCGTTCGTGAGTGAATCTATCCGGAGTTTTAGCTGATAGATCTCTTTAGTTAGCAAAAGATTCTGCTTACGCACCAAGTCTAGCTGTCGGTCTTTCTCCTCGAGCATCTCCTTCAATATRTTCACATTGCCAATCACAGATTCTGAGTTTAAATTGAATTTTGTTTGCCAAATGGCGCGCTCTACATCTAAAGCGGCAGAGATGGCCTTTTCCTTTTCAGTTTCGAAGGTGGCACGCAATTGGGCTATTATCGACTCGTGTTCACTACGATCTATTGTGTTCTGGTCGATGTTGGATGGTGGTCGTTCCAACTTTTCGAGACTTGTTTCGGACGGCGATAGCTCCATGGAGGTCATGAGTTTATAACGGCAGCGCAGCGATTCTATTTCAGATTTATGCTCGTGTAMAAGTTCTTCACGAGCTGCTGCCACTGCACGTTGCTGCTCCAGTTCAGTAGAAGAGAGTTTTTCTTTCAATTCCTCCAGCTGCGGCTGTAGTAGTTCCGCTTCGTAAAGTTTTTGTCGCAAAGCGGCAATCTCACCTTCACGTTGTTGCGTTGTTTCATTCAACAACTCTTGTGTTTGGAGCATTAATTGCTCACGCTGCTCACTTTGCATGCGGATCAGATTCCACTGATCATGAAGCATTTGCAGTTCAGATTGCAAGTCTTCGCGGTAGGATGCAACTCCTGTGCGGCAGTGTTCCAAATCGGCACGTGATAAACGTATACATTCCGAAGATACTTTATACATAGCGCTTAATATRCTTCGCAAACGCTCTACCTCAGCACGGGTAGACGATTCCGTTTCGTCAGTGAGGGTCTCGGCGTTTTGCGTCAATAACAAGGAAGTGGCGGCACTGCGGGCAACTGTCTCAACGTTTATTGTGGATGTGGCTGTCGTGACAAGCATTGGTGCGGTCGATTGCGTTGCAGTCAGCTTTTCGAATTCGTTTTCCGTATCGGTTTCGGATCCTTCACAACCATCGCCGGGCTTCTGCAACTCTCCGAGCCTTTGGGGCACTARSGGTTTTTCACCGGTACTCAACGCATTGCTACCCTCCTCCGCTTCAGCCGATGTGCCTATAACTGTTTCCTCTTGCTGGCGCAACAACTCTTYCATTCGTTCCTTCTGATGGGGACCCGAACGTGAGACAAAAAAGTTTATCACAGGTCCCATATCGGGCAACTTTATCTCGGGTGCCAAATCTGGCAGATGTGAGGACAACATATCAATGTCTGATTTCGTTATGTTAGGCAAACGAGCATCGAAGATTATTGGTGTTTCATTGGCAAATGCAGGCGGCATATCGTTCATACCGGGAAATAATTTGTTCAAGAAATGACCGTCAAAATTTTCGTTGAATTGTTGTCGCCTCCGTATTTCTTCGTTGTGGATTATTTCRAAGTCCTCTGCAAGTTTAGTAGCCCAAAGGCGGAACTCACCAGAAAATATTTTACGCCGTACGACCTGAAAGTTAATATTTTATTAACATTTACCAGTTATATAGCGTTTCATTTGTAGCTACTTACCTCTGTAACTGCAGCCACATATATACAAGGCGCCTGGTGTATTTGTTCGATAATCTGTATATGCCGTTCGGCACGACGTAAACAACGCAGATAAAATAGTAGGCGATTATCAAATTCACTCATGCTATTCTCCACATGCACAATTCGAGTCAGTCGCATGTGCAGATTTACACCAAGTTCATCTTTAGCTTTAGAAATAATCCGACGAATTTCGCGAACTTTTTGATGGTTTGTAACCATAACCGCCAGCTGAGACTGATGTGAGGCGCAAAGATCTGGCAATATTGATGGATCATTTAAATCGTTGGCCCTACTTTGGTTTTGTTGGAAAGCGGTGCACAATTCTCTTTGATCTTGTAATAAGCGTTTAATCTTATATCTGAATTCTTCTAGTCTGCACAACCGATCGCCGAGGCCCTTAATCTCTCGAACATCGGTCTGCTCAGCTTGTTTTAAAATGTGCTGAACTTCGTTTTTCAACTGAGCGTAAACATCTTTGTCAAATGTGCCTAGACCTTGAATGCATTCATCGCACATAATTTGTAATCTATTCTGATTTTCCTTGGATGTAATCCATTGCAAGAGATTTAATGTTGGACGAGAGCTGCTACTTGATGAACTATGTGGATTAACATTTGCCACTGGAGAGGTCGTTGTGTCAGTCGTTGTTGCCGGTTTCCCTGCTAATTCTGTGCCCATTTTCGGTTTCTTAATCACTGTGGTCGAATTTTTATCATCGACGTTGGTAATGTGACCGCTTATGTTTTCTATTTTCTCATTACTCCTAGGTTGTTGTGTAGGCACGCCACCTGCCACTAGCACCGACTTTTGTGTGGATTGAGAGCGGGAGAATACTTCGTCTGGATCAAGAAATTCATCGAAGCCATGGAAATCTTCCTCTGCCATAGACATTAGACCCGGCAAAATAGGAATCCGTCCCAACATGATTAGGTCATCGTTGAAATTGTGCAGAAGTTCTAGGTAACCATCTCGTCTTTCCAGGTGACGATCGAAAGCATTCGAAAAATTTGTGAAACGCAACCGAAACTCATCGATCAGATCTTCCATGTTGGCCACAACCGCCGACCAGCCTTGCTGTTGTAAATGTTGGTCATGTACTAGACGCTCGCAAAGCATTTCCTCATCTCGAGCATACTCAAACATTTTCAGTGCCAATTGAGCGCGTTTCTCTACGGAAGAATAGATGGGTTGCAACTGCTTGCAACGCTCTACTTGTTCCCCCAAATCYCGATCTGGCTCATTCGCTGGCAATGGCGGCGGCGTGCGTGGGTCTCCCGTTAAAAACATATAAATTGGATTCGTGTCGGTACCAGCCGAATAGTAAGAGACCTGTGTGGACGGTGTCAACATCTCACCACCGCTTACCAATAGCACAATATTCACCGCCGGTATGCCGTGCATTCGTTCAATGGTATCTTTAAGATTCTCGACCGAAGACAAAGCCACTGCCATGTCAAAGGACATCATCCGTCCCATATCGACGTGGAACACGTACAACATCGCGAATTTATTGGTGAACTTTCGGTTGTGTGCGAAGTGTAGGTTTGTATGTATGTATTGATCCTAGCTATTGGCAGTGCTACAAAAAGTTATTACTTTTTTGTTTATTAATAAGTTAATCCTTTWGCAAGAAGTTACCAGAAGTCTTAACGACAATAAAGTGTAAGAGATTAAACAAAGGTCAACGCCAGGGCTTCAAGAGTAGTTGCTGTGCGCTTCTTTGGCGGTGGTGTTAATGTAAGCGGTGGCTATCAGCGTAGCAAACTTGCTGCTTTTAGCAAACATATAAAGGCTGTTGCCTATTGATTGAAATTTAACCTGTGAAATAAAAATAAGAACAAAAGAAATTATTTATGAAATAATGTTTTTCAAATACAAATGTATGTATATTCTGGAGCAGTATATTTTACAAAGAGGCAAAAAACGGAAAAATCGCATACGGGAGAAATGTTCTAAGGCCCATTCCGATGAACTTTGCCTAAGAGACTATTGGTTTAAAACAGGTGTGTAACTAATGTCCAATATAAACAATATTGTTTTCAAGCTTCTTTGACTTTTTCAAAGTTGGGTAAAAAATTAGCCAAATGTGTTAAAAAAAAATCTTTTTGAGTTCCGTCCAGAGGTACACACACAATGGGGTTGAGGTCTACAGATTCTAGGCAACTCCAGCAAATCAATTTTTCCTTTTTTTCTTGAAAACTATTTTCTACTATGTTGATAAAGCTAGGTGCTTGCGAGTTCTAATGCTTTTGGCCTTTAGGCCAATTCCAAAATTTAATTATTCATCAATATTTATATTGTCGCCTTCAAAAATCCCCTCCACATGTAATACATGTAATACATTTATGTCAACAATTTTTCCAGTGCTCGAAACACTTTTCATAAGCACTTTTGGGATGGCCTTCAGCGAATTTTGTTTTATCTTCGTTCGTATGAAAAATGGTTCCACAGAGCGTCAATTTCAGTTTGGGAAACAAGAAAAAATCACAGAAAGCCAAATCAGGTGAATACGGTGGTTGATCGATGGTATTAAATTGCGTTTTTGAACCATAGAGACCTGTTTACCGAATATTTTTGATATTTTGAAAAAATCAGCTTTATCGGGAGTGGTCGAGCAAGAACGCATTAGAAATATAAAATTTTAGAAAAGAATTATTTGTTCGATATTTTTATCCATTGTAAAAATAGCAATGCACTAAAAGTGAATACATAATGATAAAAGGTATTGGTAGAAACAATAAACGGGGTACCAATGCCCAAGTAGCTGGATATGACGGTCTGCTAGAAGTGCGTTTTATACCTTGTGTCTAAGCTTTGGCTTATTATCTATTGCATAAACCGGGCTCGTAGGAGCTTTATGTTCTTTGAATATTTGAATAATGTTACTCATACGCCACATTACACAAATAAAAGTTATCTAATGCTTGATGCTTTTGGAGTTTTTGAATAAATTAATGGATTGGCGTTGACAACGGTTGTTATAAGATGAGATGGAATARTTAGATGAAATATAGTGGAGTTTAACCGTCAGGGAGTATCTCTTAAATGGTGCCTTATACCCAATGTAATGCACCTCACTTCAACAGACATATCTTTTTCCCCAAATCAATGCACTAACAATTTATAACAATGATAATCACAATAATTAAACATTACATTTATATCAACTCACAGCAATATTTATGAGGCTTTGTAAGTATGTATGTATAAATASTAATGAAATAAACTAAAAGCAAAATTTCTTGTATATGTCGCAAAAAAATATTGAAATTAAATCAGCAACAAAACACGCAAATTTAAATATCATAATTATAATTAAATTGGAAAAAATTTAGACACATAACAGCGCAAAGACACGAAATGATAAGAAAGGTAGTCTGCACTGAGGTTAAAAACATTATAATGCTAAAAGCGAGCAAGCGAGATCTGTATGTAGAAAAGATAAGAAAGAAATTATGAGACRTTAAAAATATGTGTATATGAATGTACATAGTATGTATGTAAACACATAGAAATAAAGCTATTAATGCCAATAAAATGCATAGATCAATGCAATGGAATACAATTAATAAACATACCATATTGGTTTGAAGAAAAATGAGAAAAAAAAATTAAAATTTTAAAAACAATATTAAAATAATGTATATATGTATATAATTAGAATACTTGGTTGATTTTTACAGCACCATGAATAGAGAATATGTGGCGTGAATTATTGTTCATTTTTGCGATGTACACTTTGTTACGAAGCAATAATAACTGTAGTAATTGCAAACACAAATTAATAGAGCTTTCTATTTTCGCAAAGTTTGGGTAAAATGATTTTTCCAACAAAATCCTAAACGGAAAATAATTTAAGGCAATCAAAACATCGGCAAAAACAAATTAWTAGATCAATGGTAGTAAAATCGTTTATCATATCGAAGTACCACTGTACAAAGAGAAACTAGCTAAATGCCAATATGCTTTGTAATATTTAATATTTAGAGAAATATACATTTGTGAGTACACATACGTAGGCACATCCATATGCACATAAATACATTATATTCGTAGATATAAGAGTACACACATATTTACATATATGTATGCATCATGTTCTGTATACATATGTATGTATGTACGAATGCACGCGTAGATCGTAATGAAATCGTCGCAATGAATGAGTTGATTCGATCATCACGTCGCCATTACACTTTGGCAGCCGCTAAGGCGCTTTACCCACACGTGTCCGACGCAAAAGCTAGCCAAAAACAACTACAAACCGCAGCATATGTAAATACTTGTAAATAAATATAAGAATAAGAGCAAAAGGCAATTTTATACAAAAAATAAATAAATTAGTGAGCACGAAATAAGCGTGTGCGCCTCTAAGCATCTATACATAATATACTTATAACATATGTGTAAATTTGAACACCTATGTACATATATAAAAGTCTACTTACGAAATGCAAATATCTATGTTAATACACATGTTAGCATTTGGTTTTGAGTGTAAAAATGTTGTTGCTCTCTATAAAATAGTGTCAATAACACTGAAACAAAATTATTCTTCTTTGAATTGCGTGAATTTCTCCAAAGCATACATACATACATACTWGTGTATATACATATGTATGTGCATGTGTTTATATATGCACATATAAATCCAAAAGGCATCAATTGTGTATGATATGATTAAAAACTGCTTTTGTAACGAAGGGTGTGGAGTTGCAGTGTGACGACAAGGTGTCTGATCTTGTTACTTTTAATTTGCGTATTTACCAYGTCTATAGCTAATAGAGCATTTCTTAAGTATTCTTATCGATTGGCTCGAGTGCTTATTTATTGGTAAACTATAGAAGTGATGATTTTTGTGGAATAGTAAAATCAACAAGAGCCTTAATTGTTCATATTGCTTTAGTTTAAGGGGTAACTGTTATTGTTGTAAATAATGTCTGAATGTGATTAGCGAGTTTACTTATCAAACCATATCTTTACAGACAATTACTGATCAGCTGTACATTTACTACATGTACATATATGTATGTACATACATATGTACCTGTAGGAATTTTCAAAATAATCAAAAGTGTGAGTTTTCTTTGATTACTTATTTTATAAAGTAATTTAATAGCATGTAATTTTAAGAAAACTCGCATACTATTTTTGAATTAACTTGGGCATCGAACGCTGTTTTTGGTAGGTCTCAACTATCAAAGCTGCAAAGGCCCTTGGATCTATTTACGTGAACGGGAATCACATTATTGCGTCCAGAAAGCTTCAGAAACTTTTCAGAGTGCTGGACATTTGTGACCATATGTGATATAGGAGAGGTCATAATAGACCATACGCAGAGCAAAACCTCAATTAATTTCTATGTATTTTTTATTCTTTGAAAGAAAAATACGTAATTACCTCTTGGTGCCCTGCAGGGTATAAAAACCTGCGATAATGATTGTGGGCAAAATAATCGTCTGCTCCAATTTCACCAAATAAGCAAATTGTAGCGATAAGAGCTTTGAATAAGAGGAGTCATTAACATTGGCCTAAAAACTTACAACTTGGAATTTTTCGCTATTGGTATGTACATACATTGCTAATAATAATAAGGAAATATGTAGTATAATTGTTATTATTAAATTAACAACTCCCAGGAAATAGTTATTTTGGTGCATATTTAAAGAGATTCTTTATGGGTCTRTTATCGATATATTTCTCACGTTCCTGACATACATATTCAATAAAAAAACAATTAAGGTATCGAGCCATACCCCAATTGATCCTTTATACATCTAAGAAATAGCTTTAATAAAAAACATCTAACTAAATAGTCGACACCTTTTTTGATAAGCCAGAAATGTGGAGGGTCGCCGTTTTCTATGTAATCATAGCTACGGTTAAAAAACTAGCCGAATATAATACGTATAGGAGAAAGCTAAATTTCAAAAATATAGTACAAATTAATATTTTGAACTTGAAAAAATCTTACCCACGCTTTTAATTTTATATCCACTTCGGTTACACCAGCTTGAGAACTTATAAAAATACATATTCATGTATATTCCTTTTAATCACTTAGAACTGAACTAAACAGTTCTAAATGATTTCGAACATATTTCATTAACTTTTCGTAGGTAGTAAGATAATCTATATTTTCCACGTACATTTCTACCTACATACAGGTAGTCCATTCTGTACAAGTGTGTGTATATAAGGATTTTTGGAAATATAAAATTCTCTCATATTACTGCGGAGGTAGAATTAAATGTCTCTTTCGTCATTACTTACCGGGGAGTGGGCGTTGATATCACCAGATTTTATATTTTTTCACTCGCGGTAGTAGTTCTGATAATAAATATGTACATACAACTTTTTTGGTTGCCAAGGAACCCGCATACCATGTTTCATCAAAATATCTCAATTTTAATCAAGTTATAGCTTGCACCTGTGGGACAGATAGATACCGGAATTCTACTCGTATTGTCATCCTGATCATTTATATATAGTATGTATGTATATAACTCTATAAATTATGTCTAGTTTAGAGAACTTCGCTCAATAAAAAGCATATGCTATTTTTAATTAGAGAAGCTTGTGTATTAATGTTTTGAACTGTTTGATTTCAGCAATTGTGTAACGTAATGATTTTAGCAGTGTATACTAGTATTATTAACTACAATTTCCCAAAAATATTTTATGCAAGTCGAGATGATAATGAATTTGATGCAGTATTTATATACAATACTTATCGATAAATCATTGAAATCGCATTGTCTTTGGTGTAAATTTTTGTGAACATACACCCATATATGTTCATATGTAGTTCTATTTTCGTCACTGTTTTCTCTTTGCTATACATTTGAATTAAACTGAA